AAAATTTTCCAATTATTATTTGGATTGGGGTATTAAAATAAGGACTTAATTTCCATTGGGACTTTTTAAAAACCCAAAAATTGTTTGAAGTTGTTTTTCGTTATTTATAGCCTTAAAAAAATCAATTCCTATTTGGAATATAATAAAAAAAAAATTAATAGAAAAACGAATTTGGGGGCTATTGTGGATACTTTTGAAATAATTTAAAAAAAAAAAATATAATATTGCAAATGAATTTCAAAAAATTTATATTTTTAATGATGCAACACCTGTCCCAAATTGTTTTTATTCTAAAAAATAATATGAATTTTTCAATAACCAATCAACAATCCCTTTATGAATTGCTTGTATCCACCAAAATAAAATAGAAAAAAAAATTTTGTGTGGGTTGTTTTAATTTAAAAAAATGTGATTGAAAATGAGTGTGTTTATTTTTTTTTATTATCAAATTATTTTGATATTTCTTAAAATAAATTATTTCTATTTTACTTTAAATTTAATTGAGTATTATAGTTTTATGTGCTTTATAACAAAACACTTTTTAAAATCTTTCCTCACAAAATCACCCCAAAAAAAAAAAATTTAACACTTTAAAATTTTTTTTTGGTTTAACGATAAACAAACACAATATTTAAAAAAAAATTATATAAAAAAAACATGGTTTTTTTTATTAGTGGAATGAGTATTAAAAATATAAAAAAAAAATTATAATGAAATAACTAAATTCAACATTGGCCATATAAAAAATTTTATCTTTATTTAATTTTTAAAAAAAAATTTAAAAAAAATTTAAAAAAAGTTAAAAATAAATTTATTAAAAGTTTAATTTTTGAATAAACAGTAAGTAAATTATCATTAGATTTACATTGGGATTCTTGGTTGTTGCCAATTGATTGGATCTTAATAAATGATAATTAAACCATTGGGAATCTTGGTGGTGGCCAATTGATTGGATCTTCAGTAGTTTTATTTGTTGATGAAGTAGCAAGGTATAAGGTATCAGCTTTACGAGTGGTAGTGTTTGATGAACCTTTGTTTGAAGATTTGGTACCAGCTAAGTTAGTTAAAGCGTCTTTTTTTTTGAATAAAATAAAAATATAAAAATAAAAATAAAAAATAATATTAATATTAAATAACTATTTTGAAATATATTTATATATAATTTACCAATTAACATTGTGTTATGATTATATTTTGATTACAACTAATAATAATAAAAAATAAAAATTATAAAGAATTTATAGTTTTATAAAAAAAATAAATAAATAAAAATAAATAAAAATAAATAATAAAAAATATTATATCACAATCAATCTCTACTGATAAGCTGCAAATATAAAATTATAATAAAATTTTCCAAACTAATATTTGATTGGGTATTAAATATGATAAATATCAATGTATTTTAAATCAAAATTACGAGTGTTTTTTTTATTATGGATATTTGGGAAAAATTTAAAAAAAAATTTTTTTTAAAAAAACATAAAATTTGCAATGAATTTTTTATTTTTAATATATATAACCCCTGCCCCATATATTTTTTTTAATAAAAATTTATGTTATATTTTCAATAACCAATCAACAATCACCTTATGGATTATTTATAATAACAAATACAAAATAGAAAAATTTTTTTTTGTTTTTGTGAAAAATTTTGTGAAATTTATATACAACTATTTACAAAAAAAAAAATTATATAAATTTCACAAAATTTTTATTATTTAGCTGTCCAATTTTAAAATAATTATAATAACAAAAACACTCAACAATTTTGAATTTAAAATCCATTGATATTTATCATATTTAATACCCAATCAAATATTAGTTTGGAAAATTTTATTATAATTTTATATTTGCAGCTTATCAGTAGAGATTGATTGTGATATAATATTTTTTATTATTTATTTTTTTTTATTTATTTTTTTATAAAACTATAAATTCTTTATAATTTTTATTTTTTTTTATTATTCCCAATCAATCCACCACCACCAAGATTCCCATTATAAAAAAATTAAAAATTATTTTAAATATTATTATTGCACAAAAAATGATATCTTTACCTGCTGATTTCTGTTTATTAATTAAAAATTAATACTTATATTTCTTATTTAACTTATTAAATAAATTTATCTACTGCTTTATTTAAATTAATTTTTACGAATTTATCTTATTTTATTTATTTTAGTTTTTTTAAATATTTAGCGAAGATATCATATTTTTAAATTTTTTTTTTCTATTTTATTTTAGTTATTTAAATAATTCACAAGGTGAATGTTGATTGGTTATTGAAAATATAATAGTATAAATTAAAAAAATATTTGAGACAAATTGCATGCATTAAAAATATAAAATTTCGAAATTCTTTGCAAATATTATTTTTTTTTTAAAAAAAATTTTTTATTATATTTTCAGAGAATAATGTCAAGCTATAAACAAAAAACACTCAATAAATCTTCGTTTAATTTTAAAAAAAAAAAAAAAAAATTAATTTTAAATTTAATTAGTTTTTAATTGTATTTATTTTTTTAATAAACAACAAGTGAATAATTATTGTTTGTGCAATAATAATATAAAATAATTGAAACTATTTTATAATGGGAATCTTGGTGGTGGTGGATTGGTTGGATCTTCAGCAGTTTTGTTAGTTGATGAAGTAGCAAGGTATAAGGTATCAGCTTTACGAGTGGTAGTGTTTGATGAACCTTTGTTTGATGATTTGTTGAAGCCAGATAAGTTGGTTAAAGCGTCTGTTTTTGGAGGTATTTTGGTATATTTTCAAATAATAATAAAAAAATTAATAACCACTTTATGAATACAATATATTTTATTGAATATAATTACCAATTAACATTTTAGATTAGTTTTGGAAGGTATTTAAATTTAAAAAAAAAAAAATATAGAGAATAAAATAATAATATACAAAGAGATAATTGATTGGTGCTACAATACAAGGTAATATTACAAATACTTATTTGTTTGTTTGTTTTAGAGATGAAAAAAATATAAAATATTTTGATTATTTATATTTTTTTTTTTAATGCATTGCGCAAAGATTATTTTTTTTTTTTATTGGATTAAAATGTTTTTGTGAAATTATTTGGAAAAATATGGCATCATCTCGATCTTTATTATTTTTATAATAAAAATATAAATAAAAAATATGAGTAATTTGCGCAAAGTGGTGTGTGTTGTCCAATTATTTTTAAAAATACCTTTTTTTATTTTTTTTTTATTTTTTTTTTTTTTAATTAATCCACTTTTACTTAACACTTTTATTATGTGAAAATAAAAATCAACTCCACAAACAATGAACAAATTTTTTAAAGATTTTGATTGGGAAATTGTTTTTTTAATATCTTGTTGAGTGTGGAATTTTTCAATATTTTATTAAAAAATAACGGTTATAATCAAAATCAAAAAAAAATTTATTAGAGAATTTTTCTTTTTTCTTTCAAAAATAAAAAAAAATACAAACCAAAATATCTTCAATCAAAAAAAAATTTAAAAAAAAAAAATTTTAAAATTTTTTTTTTTTTTAAAAATGATTATTTTGATTATAAAAATGAAAGTATTTTGGCAATAATTTGTCGCATAACCTAATTAAATCTGTGTGGAAAATGATCTCGTTTATATTTAAAACTAGTATCGTTTTTTTTTTTTTTTTTTTTTTTTCCAAAAAATTTTGTTTTTTTTATCATAATTTTTTTTTTAAAATAATTATTTTAAAAAACAGAGAAAAACACGTACCCATTGTATTTTATTTTATATATATAAATTTACATATAATTATATGTATTTTTTGAAATCAAAAGATGAATAAATTTATTATTTTTTTCACCTTTTTATTTTTCTTAAAATTTATAGATTGTAAGAAATAATAAAAAAAATCATTTGAAAAAAAAAAAAAAAAAAAAAAAAAAAAAAAAAAAAAAAAAAATCAATAAATAAATGATTAAATAACCATCAACATAAATATATTAATATTTATTTATTCATTTTATTTTTTTTGTTTTATTTTTATTTTTTAAATTTTAATAATTTAGGTGTAAGTGTCAAAGATGCAAGAATATACAAAAAAACAACAAATGTTTTAGGTTCAGAATTGTCCTATGGTCTTTTTGATGTTGATTTATCGGATGACCTTTATGTATATGACACAATATCGTGTCCAAATTTCGAATGTCCGGAACCCGAAAACCCAGATTCAAATACTGATTGCTCATGCGATTATACTCAGTGCCCACCTAAATCAAGACCATCAACATGCACCAACCAATGTCCAACAGATAAAGATCATCCATGCACTGGGGAGTGGGAGGTACTCCAATTAGATAAAGTTTATAATTTCTCAATTAATAAAACTAAACAATTTAGATTTAAAGCCAATGGCTTAGAGTGCAATGGTATATCATTAAAAGCAAACTCAATTAGTGGTTATGGTAATACCGATATTGGATCAAGTTTAAACCTAAATGATTTAAGAACTATGGGTAGATCATTCCAAAGAAATATTCAATACAACATATGTCCATCTGATAATATTCAAACAGCATCAACTACATTCAAAAGTATTTTTCGCGGCATTTTTTATATTTTTATTTTTTCATTTTTCAAAATTTCTTACACCTTTTTTTTTATTTTACATATTTTAGAAAGTTGGACAAGAGATACATATTTCATTCAAGTAACACCCCTTTCAAATGTTTATAATTTTTCTCTGGTATTACATTCTTTAAAGATTCAAAATGTTGATAGTTCAGTTACACCATGTCAACTCTCAGGACCACTTAGCACAACTCATAAGTGCTTAGATATTGGAACTTCTTACGAGATATCCGTTGGTTATAACGAAAGAAAATATTTTGCAATTAATATTACAAAACCGGATTATTATTATTTTAACTTTCCAATCATCGATCAAACTCTTAATATTTTAATTTCTGATAATGACAATGTCACAAAACCAGTTCTTGGTGAAGCAACATGGGAATTAATGGAGGATAGTAAGTAAAAAAAGATCTAATTTAAAGATCCTATATTTAGAATAATTACTAATAATTAACCATTATTTTACTTTAGCTGAAAATTTTATGCTTCTCTACTTGGAACCAAAAAGTGATGGAACACCTTTAACTATTTACATCACAGCAGTAGCTTATTATCCAACCACATATGTATTTTCAATTACCAACTATGGTAAAAAATATCAACAATCCATCTACTCATCAGAATCTGCTCAAGTTGGTTATTTAAATTTAAGAAGTACATCCAAATTATATTTATCCAGTGGAAGTTATTACACAACACACACCCTCTCAACATCAGATCTTAAAAAAACATTTGATATTTTATACCCACAAGAAGATTTAAATCCATTGTGGCCAGTTTCATCTATTTTCGATTATGTCCTCTCTTCTTCAAATTTAAATCCAACTTTCAACACATTCAAACCAAATTCATACCAAGCTTCATTTTTACTAGAACAAAACGGCGGTTATATATACACAAAGTATTTGGATTATGATTCATTGAAAAATTCAACTTTGGTTATAAATTCAAATATATTTGATAAAGATGGAAAAGTAAGTAATATTAATATTATTGTTCAATAGAGTGTTAGTATTAATAAAAGTCATATTTCTTTTTTTTAGCCAGTTAAACTCAGTACCAAGTTTAGAGAGATCCAATTGGAATGTGATATCGAAAAGTTTAATAAAGCTAATGATATGATTAAGGAAATTGAAGGCTCTTTATTTGATATTTTAGATAGAGATAATATCAATAACTATAGATACAATCTCGATTCATTGACAATTACCGATGCTTGGTATGGTTGCCAAAGTCAAATTTTAAACTATTTCGAAACTGAAACTTATTTAGGTTATAGAAGTCTTAAAAATTGTCCATATGAAGCAACAAATCCACTCTTTCAAACCAATCCATGTTGTAATTCAAAACTCTCATATTATGAATGCTGTAATCCTTCGGATCTCCCCTTTAATACAACAAAAAATACACTTCTTAGAGTCGACTCTGTCAAAAATCAATGCTCCAGCCCAGATTGCTCTCTTTCAGTTTTAACCGATTTCAATCGTTCACTTTCAACAATTGAAGAATGCACCATCTCTGGCTCCACTATTTCCAACATCGAGTATGAAGTTGTAACCGTATTAAGAGAATGCAAAAATGAATTAATCTCTCCAGTTTGCACACTTGATTCAGATTGTGACGGTTATGGTGCCCATAGATGCGATCTTTTTAAAAGACAATGTATCCCAGATTTTGATACCATTGATAAATCATTTCTCAAATGTGTTTTAGAAAATCTTCCAAGAGGTGTTCTTTATTATCTACTCGATAGTACAACAGCATTTAACAGCAAGACTATTGATACATTACATAGTTATCATGCCACTCAAGATTGTATTGGTTATCAATCAATTATGGACCGTTCAACATATACTTTTAGCTCAGCCAAATACGGAAATTGCAACAAGAATGAAGGTTGTTTAGACTCTACATGTTTAATTCATCACGATATCTGTTATGATAATATTGCCCTCGATAGCTCACTAAAACTAATATCTCATATTGGTAATTGTGACTCCTTTGGATTCTGTCCACATTTAGATTGCACCAATTTAAATAATTCCCTTTGCAAGAGTCAATGTAATCCTTTATCATTTTGTGGTTATTGCACTGATGATACAACCAATTGTCATGTATTCCCAAATCCAGATCAGCAATCTTGTGAGAATGAATATGTTTGTTTACTTTCAGACGGTTCATACAAAGAAGGTGTTGACAAAGCAACTTGTGAAAGCCAATACGGTAAATGTAGCTCTGCTTGTGGCACCACTTGCACCACCCCAGATGGAGGATCTTCTGGTTGTTTTATTTTGAAAAAAAATAATCAAACAGAATGTGAATCTAGCTCTGGTGTATGGTTATCAAATAGTTGTACTGCACCTAATTTAGACCAAAGTGCTTGTAATGCAGCTGGTAGCGGCTACTCTTGGGTTGAATGTGCTTCAAAAGTTTACGGTGAATGCTCTGGTCCATTAGACAGTGTATTTGCTTGTAAGACACAATATAGTAAAGATTGCACAAAAGAACAATGTTCCACTGTTGGTGAATGCACAGATTCATATTACTTTTCCCCAGACTCAAACTCAAATTATCCAAAAGGTTTGGGTAAATGTCTCAAAAAACATTTACATTACTACAGTACAATGACTTGCGAATTTAATGTAGGTTTGGAAATTATTATTACCAATTTTAATATTTATAATTACTAATTTTTTAAATTTCATATATATTTATAGGCAGAATCAGATTCTCCAAATGGATGTTTTACCTTAGTTCCATCATATTTAACTAAAGCGGCATGCGAAAATTTTGGTGGCACATGGTGGGTTCCAGCAAAAAATAAAGATGAGTGTACATCACAAACAGGTTGCAGAGTTATTGATAGATCAGATTGGGGTAACTTACCATACAATTATAAGTTTAATGAAATGACCAAAGATAACTGTTCAGCTTGTAGAGATACTCTTAACGAATGGACAAATAAATTTGAATGGACTCCAAGCACTTGGTTACCAGGCGTCTATGTCAAAAAACAATGGTTGGAAAATAAATCATTTGTCCCAAATAAATTAGAATCAAAAGTTTTCAACTACGAAAATTTCTATGATAGTGTTATGAATGCATTAAATACTCATGTTTCAGAATTATACCGTTCACAAGCATTTTGCAGAATGGAAAGGTAAATATTATAACAAGCTTATTTATTTAGTTTCATTTAGAATTTGAATTAATTTTTTATTTTTTTATTTTTTAATTTTCAATATAAAAAAGAATTCAATCCAACTTAAACTCGTTAGCATGCAGTTGTTTTGGTGAAGGTGGTCCACAATGTTTCGAGTCATCAGTCCCACTTTTAGGTCAAGCTAAAGTATGTGCAGAAGAATCATCAAAATTCACATTTGATTTCGGTTTACTTAATTTTACAAAAGATTCAATTAGTGAAAGTTGTCAAACTCTTTCAATCTCGCAAATGTCCAGAGAAATTTATACATCAACTGTTCCAGATTCATTAGCATCAAATTTTGTATCATATAATAAACCAGATAATTTTGCAATCTACAACGAAAAGGGGGCAACTATTGGTACAATGATTAGTGATGGTGTAATGATAAAATCTCAAGACGGTGTTCGTAATGTTGATGTATGCTTCAAGATATCAGACTCAATGAACTTTAATGAAAAATATCCAACTGTCGATTTAGCTATTCAAGAAAATGAAAAAGATAAACCAACTCCACTTAGTCTTTCTATTCATCTTAATAAAGAAGGCGATGTAATATATTATTGTGGTTTTATTGAAGATGTTCCAAAAGGTTCACCAATATATTTCCAAATTAACCGTGCCGATGAGTGGGAAGGTAAAAGTAAAGAGCTTTTTGATGAAGAAACCAAAGGTTTAATGTACGCATTGGCTGTTATTTTCCTTGTTGTTGCTGTTGCTGGCTTCTATGAATTGGGTACATTGTTATATCTTTACACCAAAAAGATTGTCACTCAGTTCCAATTAATTCATTTACTCCTTGTATTTGTAACTGGTTTCATCTTGATTAGATCAATTTATTTCTTTTTATTAGTTAATGGTATATATTATTTTTATTTATTATTTTCATCATCATCATATTAATATTAATATTCCATTTTATTTTCAACTCTAGGTAAACTGTCTGATAGTCCAGTTGCTGATTACATTTTAGTAGTACTACCAACTTTCATTTATTTCACATCTTTTTGTCTCATCATTATATTATGGTATGTTATTGTATTTTTAGTTTTAAAGAAAAATAGAGGCGCCGACACTCTTACCAAAAGGTTATATTCAATGGTTTTCATTATCAATTTGGTCCTTTATATGTTATTCATTGCCATTGTTTTGGTCTTCCAATATACCAAATATACACCCATCAATGACTGCGGCTCACGTATCTTTGTAGCAACCAAAACCTCTGCAGCTCAAAGGGGTGTTAGTATTGCTTATGCTGTTATTCAAGCATTCATCTCATTATTACTTGGAACAGCTTTCATATATTTAGGTAGCAGTTTATATAAACGTTTACATTTTGGAAATGTTAATACTGGCTCTAAAACAAATCACCAAACAAAGGTCTTCATTCTTTCAATTATTTGTTCAATTGGTTTCCTTCTTCACTGCGCATTTGTATTGGTTTTAGTTTCAGATTTCAATTCAATAGTTTTTAGTTTTATTGGTTTAATTATTACAGAAATTATCCCTGCCATTGCTATCCTTTACTGTTTCAATCCACGTGAAAAACAAAGAGATAAAAACGGAAATACTCTTGGTAATTCAACAACAACTGGCCGTTCAACAAAACTCTCCAAATTTGGTGGTAATGAATCACCACATGAATCACAAGCTTCTTCATCAAACGAAAATTAGAATTTTAATAAAAAATATGTAGTATAAATAAATTTTAAATTCTTTTTTTTTTATATATATTTTATTGTTAAAGCGGTTCAAGTTTGCCCACACATTTGTTATATCAAAATTTTATGAGAAAAAAAGTTAAAAATTTGGTGGGTTTTTTTTGTTATTTCAAATTTGCACAAACTTGGTCCCCTCTTGCAATAAATTGTTTTTTTTTTTTAATTTTTTTAATTAAAAAAAATTTGTAATAAATAAATATGTATTTAATTTTGAGAATATAAAAAAAAAATAAAAATTAAAAAAAAATAAAAAAAGATATTTTCAAAGAAATTAATACCCATTTTTTGGGATAATCTTTGCACATTTTTTTTCTGGGATTAATAAAAAAATACATCTAAAAAATTAAAACTTAGAAATTTTTAAAATTTTTTTTATTAATCAAAAAAAATATAAATAGCCATCTTTGCACATTTTTATTTTCATTAATTCAAACAAACATCTATTGTATCACTACATTGTATCATCACTATTAAATAATCTTTTTTTATCTTTTTAAATTTTCACTTTTTATTTTATTTTAAATATTTGTACATAAAAAAAATGTTAATTGGTAATTATTATTTTTCATTTTTTTTTTGAATTAATATTTTATTAATATTATTTTTATTATAATTTTGTAGACGCTTTAACCAACTTATCTGGCTTCAACAAATCATCAGGCAAAGGCTCATCAAGCACCACTACTCGTAAAGTTGATACTTTATACCTTGCTACTTCATCAACTAATAAAACCACTGAAGATCCAACCAATTACCCACCACCAAGATTCCCATTATAAATATATTTTATTATATTTTATGTTTAATAAATATATAATATAATTGTTTTTATTAAAATAAAAAATAAAAAAACTATTTTCAAAATACATAAACTATATTATTTATATCTTTTTAAAATTTTATACACTAAATATTGTGAGATCCAACCAAGTTTGCGCAAATTTGGAATAACTAAAAAAAAAACCACCAAATTTTTAACTTTTTTTCGCATTAAATTTTGATATAACAAATGTGTGGGCAAACTTGAACGACTTTTACAATTAATTGTTAAGTCCAAAAATTTCCAATATTACTTTTCAAAAATTTTTTAATTTTTTAATTTTTTAATTTTTTTTCCAATTTACTAAACAAATTTCTTAAAAATAATATTTTAATTTAAATTTAAAAAAAATTTTTATTTAAGTTTTTTTTGGGATTTTCCACCCAATCACAAAACTTAAAAATCTATTTTTTTAAAATATTGCAATCTTTGCACAAATTTTTTAAAAGAAAGATCTTGATTTTAGAATCCATAGGTTTCTTATAAAATTCTTAAAATTTTTATTTTTTTATATATTTTTATATTTTTTTTAAAAATTATAAATAGTCATCTTTGCACATGCTTTTTTCATTAAATTAAACAAACATCTACCTGTTGTATCATTACATTGTACCACCATTAAATTATCTATTTGTATATTATCTCTTTAAACTTTAATTTTAATTTTTATTACTGTATTTTAAATCTCTGTAAAAATGTTAATCGGTAAATATTATTTATTTTTTATTAAATAAATATTTTATATTTATCTATTTTTTTCCTCTATTTTTATTTCAATTTCTCTCCAGACGCTTTAACCAACTTATCTGGCTTCAACAAATCATCAGGCAAAGGCTCATCAAGCACCACTACTCGTAAAGCTGATACCCTATACCTTGCTACTTCTTCAACTAATAAAACCACTGAAGATCCAACCAATTACCCACCACCAAGATTCCCATTATAAATTTATTTTATAAATTCATAATTATAATTATTAAATAAATGCCTTAATAACCATTTATTAAGAAATAATTGTTTTTCATTCCAAAAAAAAATAAATAAAATTATTCATTTTCAATTGTTTATCTTTTAAAAAAAGAGCAACCAATTAAAAAATATATTTTTTAACAAAAATAATAATAACAATTTTTAATTAAATTCATTATTAAATTGATCAAAAAAATCACTTTTTTTTAGCTAAAAACCACACTTTTGTTATTACAAAATTTAAATTAAATATAAATCTTTTTTTAAAAAAATAATTAGCAAACACCACTTTTGATATATATTAAGACTCAAGGAAATGATTGCATTATGTTTAATATATGACACAAAAAAATTTTTGTGCAAAATAAAATCTAAAAAAAAATACATAATAAATTTTTTCCAAAATATCTTTTTTAAAATACCCAGACTTTCCCAAAAAAAAAAACTTTATCACCAAATTTTTTTTGGGTTTTATTTTTTATTGTGGTTGGATTTTATTTTAAATTTGATTGGACATTAAAAAAAAAAAATTCACAATATTTTTCAACAAGGAATCTTTGCACAATTTTTTTAATGGAAAGATCTAAATCAAAGAAAGCGATAGGCTTTCTTAAAAATCACTCATAATTTTAAAAAAAAAAAAAAAAAATTTTAAAAATTTCTTTTTTTTTTTTTAAAAAAAAAAAATATAAATAGTCATCTTTGCGCATACTTTTTTCATTTATCCAAAAAACAAACAAATAATCTTTTGTAATATTACCTTGTATCATCATTTAAATACCAATTTGTATATTTTCTCTTTAGACTTTAAATTTTTTTAATTTTTTTATTTCTGTATTTTAAATCTCTGTAAAAAATGTTAATCGGTATTTATTATTTATTTAAATTTTTTTTTAATCACTTTAAATTAATATTTTTATATTTATCTAAATAATAACAAGACGCTTTAACCAACTTATCTGGCTTCAACAAATCATCAGGCAAAGGCTCATCAAGCACCACTACTCGTAAAGCTGATACCCTATACCTTGCTACTTCTTCAACCAATAAAACCACTGAAGATCCAACCAATTACCCACCACCAAGATTCCCATTATAAATCTATTCATATTATAATTATTAAATAAATGCCTTAATAACCATTTATTAAGAAATAATTGTTTTTCATTCCAAAAAAAAAAAATAAAAAAAAAATTTTTATTACTTTATTTTATTTTTATTTATATTACACATAAAAAAATTTTTATAACAATATTTTCTAATATAAATTTTGAGATAATAAAAATATTTTAAAAGAGGTAATATCAAATTCCTAACCAAACTTTATAACAAATTTAGGGAAAAATACTCTATGTGCAATTTAAAAGAAATTAACAAAAAAAAAGATATTTTTTTATATTGCCCCGATTTTCCCATAAAAAAAACCTAGGTCTCTCCATTATAATTTTTTTTTATTAAATATTAGATATTTTTAAAAAAAAATTTCACAATAATTTTTCAACAGACTATCTTTGCACAATTTTTTTCAAAAAAAAGATCTAAATCAAAGAATAAATATCTTTCCTAAAATCTAACCATTTTTCAAAAAAAAAAAAAAAAAAAAAGAAAAATTTTGTAAAAAAAAAACTATAAATATTCATCTTTTAATTTTGAAAATTAAACATCTATCTGTTGTATCATTACTTTGTATCATCATTAAATAATCTATTTGTATTATATTCTTTCAACCTATAATTTAATAAAAAATTTTGTATTTTTAATCTCTGTAAAAAAAATGTTAATTGGTAATTATATTATATTATATTATATAATTTTTTTTTTTTTTTAAATTATATTAATTTTATTAAATATGACAAGACGCTTTAACCAACTTATCTGGCTTCAACAAATCATCAGGCAAAGGCTCATCAAGCACCACTACTCGTAAAGCTGATACCTTATACCTTGCTACTTCATCAACTAATAAAACCACTGAAGATCCAACCAATTACCCACCACCAAGATTCCCATTATAAATATATTTATAATTCTATTTATATAAAAATTTTAAATAAATGTTTATAAACTTTTTTAAACCATAAAAACTGCTCAAATATAAATTAATATAATAATTTAAAATAATAAATAAATATTTTTATTAAGGAAAATAACAAAACAATTTTCTCATAATTTTTATATAATTTATAAACATATTAAAGTAATAAAATTTTTAGTATATAAAAGCAATCCTGCTTTCAATTTATTCATTTAATTTTTTAAAGATTTTTTTTTAATAAACAATATTTTCAAAAAAATTTATTAAATATTGGGATAATATTTTTTCAGGCTCAACACTCCGTTAGTTTCGAGTCATTATTATAATTTAAAAAAAAAAAAATTTCAAAAGATATTTTTAAAAAAATTTTCAATCAATTTTTCAACGCGCTATCTTTGCCCTATATTTTAAAGAATCTAAATCAAAGAAAACTTTTTTAAATTTTAAATTTTAAGTATTTTATAAAAACAATCTGAATAACCCATGGCTTTCTTATAAAATACCAATTTTTTATTTTATATAACATATTTTTTAATATTTTAAAAAAAAAAAAAAATATAAATAGTCACCTTTGCACATTCTTTTTTTCATTAATTCAAACAAACATCTATCTGTTGTATCATTACTTTGTATCATCACTAAATAATCTATTTGTATATTATCTCTTTAAACTTTAATTTTAATTTTTGTATTTTAAATCTCTGTAAAAATGTTAATCGGTAAATATTATTTATTTTTTATTAAATAAATATTTTATATTTATCTTTTTTTTTCCTCTATTTTTATTTCAATTTCTCTCCAGACGCTTTAACCAACTTATCTGGCTTCAACAAATCATCAGGCAAAGGCTCATCAAGCACCACTACTCGTAAAGCTGATACCTTATACCTTGCTACTTCTTCAACCAACAAAACCACTGAAGATCCAACCAATTACCCACCACCAAGATTCCCATTATAAATCTATTCATCTCATAATTAATAAATAAATGTTTTAATAAACAAATATTTAAAATAATTGTTTCTTTTTAACAAAACAAAACAAAACAAAACAAAACAAAACAAATTTTTTTTTAATTATTTTAATTTGCTTTATCTAGATCACAAATATTATTGTTTTATCAAAATGTGACCAAATCAAATAATTTTTTTTCAAGATGTGGTTATTTCAATTTACAAATTTTATTTTGTTTTTTAAAAAACTCTCATATATCAAAATAATAATTTTTTGCAGGGCATGGAAGAAATTTATTAAAATAAAATTAAATTAAATTAAAATTAAAAAAATTAAAAAAAAAAAAATTATTTTAATTTATTCCACCATTATATTTTATAATAAAATTATCACAAAAATCTCATTTTTAAATTGCCGAGATATTCACTCAATTTTGAAAAAAAAAAAAAAATTTTATTTTTCACACAAAATTATTAATCCTTTTTAAAAATTGATTGGATATTAAATAATTAAGAAATTTTTTTTAACTGGTATTATTTGCACAATTTTTTTAAAGAAATGATCTAAATCAAAGAAGTTGGTAAAAAAAAAAATTTTAATTTTTTTTAATTTTTTTAATTTTTTTTTTAAAAAATATAAATAGTCATCTTTGCACATGCTTTTTTCATTAATCCAAACAAACATTTATCTGTTGTATCATTACTTTGTATCACCTTTATAATCTATTTGTATAATATTTTCACATTAAACTTTTCCTTTAATTTCTTCAATTTTAAATCTCTATAAAAATGTTAATTGGTAATTATTTAAATTATAAAATTCCTATTTTCAAAATTTGTATTAATTTTTTTAATTATTTTTTTTTTAATTTTTCTCCAGACGCTTTAACCAACTTATCTGGCTTCAACAAATCATCAGGCAAAGGCTCATCAAGCACCACTACTCGTAAAGCTGATACCTTATACCTTGCTACTTCTTCAACCAACAAAACCACTGAAGATCCAACCAATTACCCACCACCAAGATTCCCATTATAAATTTATTTTATAAATTCACACTTTCATAATTAATTTAATTTATTATTTTCAATGAAAATATAATTAAATAGATTGTTTTTGAAACAAATAAAAATAAAATTATTTTAAAATCTCAAACCAAACTATCTCTTTTAATTTTTTAATATTAAATTTATTTTATAGGGTTTCTTAAATTAAATTAAAATTAAATAAATGCTCTAAAACTCCATGTAAAATAGAATTTATATTTCTTTTGATTATTTTAATTAATTTCAAAGGGATAGATTTTTTTTCAAAATAGTTTTTTTTATTAAAAATTATAAAAAAATTAAATTAGATATTTTTTCTTCAAAGAAAATATCATCTTTGCACACAAAGAAACAACCTACGTCAACAATATATTAAGTATTCAAAATTTCTATATAATTTCACAAAACTTTAAATTAAAATCTTAGAAAAAAATTGGTAAAAAAAAAAATATAAATTAAATCCTTTTTTTAAACATTTTTTTTTTTTAATTAATCCAAACAAACATCTATCTGTTGTATCACTACTTTGTATCACCATTAAATAATCTATTTGTATATTTTCTTTTAAATTTTTTTTATTAATTTTTTTATAATACCCAATCTAAAATGTTAATTGGTAATTATTTTTTAAAGATTAATTAAAAAGATAAAATCTTTTAATTAATTATTTTTTTGAAATTTCCTTTTTAAAACCAGACGCTTTAACCAACTTATCTGGCTTCAACAAATCATCAGGCAAAGGCTCATCAAGCACCACTACTCGTAAGGCTGATACCTTATACCTTGCTACTTCATCAACCAACAAAACCACTGAAGATCCAACCAATTACCCACCACCAAGATTCCCATTATAATTTTTTTTTTTTTAAAATAGTTTTTTCGTTTGAAAAAATAATTAAAACATTTATTTAAATAAATAAAATAAACCTTTATAATGAAAATATAAAAGATGGAGTGTATCTAATAAATACAACTAAATTTTTATTATTTTTAAAGATTTTGATAAAACTGTGGGTAACAAATCTACATTAAAACCGTCAAAGTAATAAATTTCTTTTAAAGTACTTGGTAAAATATTTGGAGAGGACCAATTTTGATTGAAACCATTACACAGATACAAAACCTCGACACCTTCAGGTATTGAACCGACCATTAGTTGTTGCTTTATATTATATAGTGATAGTCGCTTTACAGAACTTGGTATTATTCGTGGAAATAGCTTTATATTGAAACCATCCTCTAAAAACAACCAGTCTACACTGTTTGGAATTGAATCGACCAATAAACCCGCTATATCATAAAGATGTAATGATTGTACACTATTTGGTATTAATCCAGGTGTTAACTCTTGAGAAAATTTATTGCAAAGGAAAAGCTCTTTAACTGAATTGGGAATAGAGGAAAATAACAATGGTTTTCTAATATCATATAGGCTTAACTTTTCAACACTACTAGGAATTACACCGGGTAATAATGGTTGATTGAAACCGTTGCATAATCTAAGATATTTTACTGATTTTGGTATGGAGCCTGCTATTAAAGGATGTTTAATTTTATAAAGATACAATGAAAAGACTGATTCTGCGATTATACCAGGTAACATTGGTTGATCTGGTCCCGGGTCTAAATACAAATGCTTTATTGTGGCGGGAATTGATTTGATTGGGTAATTAATATCACCCAAATATAATGTATGTACAGATGATGGGATAATTTCATTTGAAATAACTTGAGAGAAACCATTGTAAAAGAAAAGAAACTTAACTAATTGAGGCAAAGACTCTAATGAAACTTCTCTTTTTATATTGAATATATGTAACTTTTCTATTGAGTTTGGTAATTTCGGTATGGGTTTATCAAAGCCGTCTCTAAAGCATAAATTCTTTAAATTGCTAGGTATAGAATCTTTGGATAACTCTGATTTAATGTTGTAAAAATGAATTGACTCTACCGATTTCGGTATGATATCATTTATAACCTGAAGACCAAAACCATCTAAAAAATATAGCCACCTAATACTATTTGGAAAAACTGATTCTCCATTAAAAGATTCTTTTTCCACATCCCCTATATACAATGAATGAACTGAATCTGGTATAATACCACTTGTAATTGGCTGATTAAATCCATCTTCTAACCACAACCACCTAACTGTCCTAGGAATAGATCCCACTACTAATGGCTCTTTTAATTTTCCTAAATGTAATTTCTCTATTCCATCTGGTAGTGAATCTTTTTCGATTTTAATTTCTTTATTATTTAAATATAGTTCTTTAATGTTATTTATTATTTCCACTTCTTTATTTAAATTTATATTTTCATTCAATATTAATTTCTTTATTATTAAATTTTTATTATTTTTTAATTCTTTATCATATTTGAAAATAATATCATTTACTATAATTAATAAAAATAAAAAAATTAAAATTTTAGTTAATATTGATTTAAATAAAAAAATAAATAGAAATAAAAAATATGCATACATTTAAATTGTTTATCTATCATTAGATGCTTTAAAGTTTCTTTATCTTTAAATAATTTTTTTTCATACTTTATTATAAAATTTAAAGAGTCTTTAAATCCTTCAATGACATCTTGATTAAAAACTACACTGTGCTCTTCAAAGGGTTGAAATTGCGAATATTTCTTATTGCTTGAATAGGTTTTAAATAAGTAGTAGTCTTTAAAAATTGATATAAATTCATTATTGATTTCGCTTTTTGTTTCAGTGTCGCACTCTTCGTCTATCTCGTCTTCCCCCTCTTGTATATTGAATAGATTGTCGAATTTGATTTTATTTAAACTATTATAATGATATTTCTCTAATAGCTTTAATAAAAATTTTATATTTGTTTCTAATTCGGTTTTGGTTTGTATATAAATAGTTTGATTTTCACTAAATAATGATTCTAATTCTTTTACAATTTTCATTTCTTTGATTGATAATAAATCATGTAACTCTTTAAAGCGGTTTGTAACAAGTTTTATCTGATCTCTATGATTATTTTCTAATATTATTTTACATTCATCTAATTGATCCAAAATAAATTGATCACTTGATTTATAGTCATTTAATGTTTGAAACTGCTCTAAAATTTCGTTATATATTTCTTTGCATCCATGTTTTGATATCTTTGAAAAACTATGACCTTTGTGATTGCTTGTCATGCATTCTATACAAATTGGTGTTAAACAATTATCGCAAACTAATAATATTAAACTATTTCTGTGATAAAAGCAATTTTTGTCATCACCAAGATAATGAATATATTCATTAAGATTATTTATCATTTTTACTTTTCATTATTTAAAAAAATATAAAAACCATAAAAACTATATTATTAAACTATAAATAAAATTAAAAAAAAAAATAAAAAAAAAATATAGTTTTATTAAAATAAAAAAAAAAATTAAAAAAAAAAACGATATTTTTTTTATGTTGTCACAAAATTGATTATCTCATTTTATTTTCGAGCAACGAAAAGAAAAAACCAAAAAAAAATTGTGTGAACTTTATTTTAAATATTTATAAATTAATTATTATGATACAATTTAATTTTTTATTTATTTTTTTATTTTTTATATTAATGATTTTGGTGATAAATTTGGTGATAATAAAATATCGTTTTGGTTTGATTTTAATAATGAAACAATTTTTGAAAAAACTTTTTTAGAATCTTTACCCCACATAAAATCCAAATGTTCATACTTTTCTTCTTCGTGGACCATAACAACTTTGTCACGTGGTAAATGATCTAATAAAGCTTTTGTATTTGGTAAACTATCTGAACCGCCATAAAAGAGAGCACATTTTGTTAATATTTGGGCTGGATGATATCCAGGTATAACTCTACCGTGGTAACGATGAGGCTTTTTAGAGTTTTCATTTGGAGTTATACCCAAGAGGATATCATCAAACATTTGGAAACGATTAGTTTGAATGATTTGGAACCAATGAACAACTGATTTAACTGAGGTATATGAGAAAATGTGAGAGTAGAGCATAGCCTTTTCATCTTGAGAGATATTTTCTGTGTGCCAACCAAAGAGGAAACGAACCGATGTATCTATAACTTTAACAAAGATATCTTTTGGAAGGAAATTTCTCCAGAAAATTGTTGATGGTAACATTGATTTCTTTCCAAATAAAAGGAATATAAAATCAGGACGACTTCTTGCTAAACTATCAATCATTGGGTTACTGAAACCTTTAACAGTTGATACTGGTGCTAATGCGATGAATAAATTAATCTTTTTTGCAACTGCTGTGTTTGTTGATAATGCAGCCCAACCTTGAGCAGTACCTTGTGAGAAACCAATATATGATATTGATTTGGCGCCGGTACGATCACAAATGAAATTAACAATACTTGGGAAATCATAACGAACCAATTCATCCAATGACCAATTCCAAAAACCTTCTTGATTTGGTGTATATTGTGTGTGTTTGAAAGAGTATTTGTTTCCTCTATTGTTTCCAAGCCATACATCAAAACCTGCATCTGCCAAAATAAATGGTAATGAATCTTTTGGATCACTTCTACATAACCATGCCTCTGATGTTTGCATAAACCCATGCATAATAACTACAACTGGTTTATTTGAACTAAATAGTTGTGATGGTGTTGTGGATGAAGTTGTTGATACTGATTCAGAATCAACTTCAACTGATTTAGATTGCTCTTGTTGTTGCTGTTGTTGTGATTGTCTATTTTTAACACTATTATTATTATTATTATATTTTTTTGAAAAAATCTTTCTTGGTGAAGTTGGTGGTGAATCTGGTGGAGTGTTAAATTGCTTTGGACCAGTAATTCTATGAAGACCTAATATAAAGCCATCTGGTGTTGTTACAAAATGCTCTTCAACTGGGTAACCTCTTGCTGTAATCATTTCGATTGCATCTCTTTCTAAATCCTTCTCCTCTTCGCTTGCTTCTTTTGATACTCCTGAACTGAATCCAATATTGTCAAAATAAAACTTAAATGGTACGAATCCAAAAACAGTGGTTACAAAAAATCTTGTTATTCTTTCAATTATTAAAATTAATAATGTTAAATACAATTGACTCCATCTCCAAAATGTTTTTAATATGTTAACTATAATTAATCCCATTTCTAAGCTATTTGATTACTAAAAATTTTTAAAAATAAATTTTATAATTGTAAATTTAAAAATAAATAAAAAAAACAAAAAAATAATGTATTAATATATAATTTACTTTTTATTCTATTTTTCTAAAAATTTTAAAAAAATATTTACCTTTTTCTTTTACTCTTGATTATCTTTTAAAAAATATTTTGTTTAAATATCTTGTATAAAAAAAAACTTTGTGTGGGTGTAATAATTATAAAAGTTATTTAATTTCGTTTATTATTTTGTAGGAAAATGAAAAAAAATAAATTTTTTAAATAGATTTTTTTTAATTATTTTAAATAATTATAATTATTATTATTTATATTACTATTAATTTTAAATTATTATAACACACTTTAAAAAAACTTTGGGGGTAAAGATGATTATATGTGTAGGGATGGGTGTGTGAGTGAAATTAAAAAAATAAATATAAAATTAAAAAAAAAAAAAATACAGGTGGTATGCTTTGTCGCAGTATTTTTAATTTTTTTAAAATAATAGGACAACTTTATTATAAAATATAAATTTATTATTTTTATTATAAAAAAAATTATAATAAATTAAATTATATTTTTATAATTATTTGTTTTTTTTACAAAAAGTAATGTTATAATATATATATTTATTTTTAAAAAAAAAAAATAAAAGAAAAGAAAAAAAAAAAAAAAAGGTTTCCAAAAAAAAAGAAATGAAAAATAAAAAAATAAATAAAAATAATTTTTTTTTTTTAAATTTTAAATATTTTAAAAATATATTTGTTAACTTATTTAACTGAAGTGTGGTTCTTATATGTTTTTAATGTGGCGGTGGGGTAAGTGTGTGAATTATTTTTCATATTTAAATTTAAAAATTTAATTTAATCATTATATATAGTTTGATATGAAAATTTAAAAAACACGGTGCCCTCCCCATTATAACAATTAATTTACTATATTATTTATATTTTTTTCATTATTATTTTATTGGGTGATAATTTTCATTATTCAATTATTAACCAATGGTTTTTTTTTATTTTATTTGTAATCAAAAAAAAAAAAAAAAAAATAGAAAAAAAATTGGTTGGGAAAAATTTTAAAAATATATTTTTTCTTTTTTTTTAATTTTTGGGTAACGAAAATAATTTTTTTTTTTTTTCGGTCTATTCCCATAATTATAACAAAAAATGGGTCGTGTTTTATTTTCATTGCTATCTTTCTAACAAATTAGTTGGAAATGTGTTCGGGCTTCCTTAACCGTGGCCATCATGGAAAAGAGTTTATCAATTCTTTTTTATACGCCTTTGGTCGAACTCATAGAGTATCAGTAGTGGGCAATGTTTACTTGTTCATAAGTCGTTTAAACTCAATCATTACTGGCACACTTGAAACATATAAAATTTAAAGAAAAAAAAAACTATAATATTTTAATTAAAATTATTTAAAATTTATTATGTATTAATGAATTTAAAATATTTTTAATTAAAGTTAGGTAATAGTTTAAAATAAAAATAAAACGAAAAATTAATTATATATAGTTTTTTAAGAAATGTAAACTATTAATTTAATCTTTTTTATTTAATTGATTGTTGTATAAACGTAATAAATTTCTTTCTAACATTGCAATTGTGACTTTACCTATTGTTGGCACTAAAATACATTTGTCTTGAATTGATTCTTCAACATTTAAACAACCAGCAAAATTTAAAACTATGGTACCTTCATTAATTAGATCACTATTTACTTTATAATTCGAGGATGGTACACCCAAAATTAAAATATCACTTTTTGAAATTGCTTCTTCTCTTGAAATTGATGTTTCAACCATTTTAATTGTACCATATCTTTTACCAGCTTGAAAAATAATAACACCATTTATATCAATTGAGTATCTAAAAATAAAATAAAATATTAATATTTTTTTTTCTTTTTTTATTTTATTTTTTTTATTTAACTTACACATAGGCACCGTCATTTGCCAACATTGCTGCCAATGGTCTACCAACGATCTCACTTCTATTTACAATTGTAATGG